CCAGGTGATCTCATCCTGTGTGGTGATTAAACGTTTGACTGACGTGACACACTGGGTGAGTGAGTGAGTGAAAACATATTTAACGTCACATCGGCAATGTTTCAGCCATATCGTTACGAGAGTGAGTGAGTGATTTAAGATTTAACGTCACATCGGCAATATTTCAGCCATATCGTGACGAGAACAATTAATTATTATACATAGTAATTAATAGTAAATTATAAAGACCTGTCTACGAAGGACAGTAAAACAACTAGATTATCACAGAGACGAAATTAAAACTGGTAATTGAATCTAAAACACTTAAACTATAGATGACAATACAAGGGGAAAAAACAGGCTATATATTGCTAACAATATTTAAGATTTAACGTCACATCGGCAATATTTCAGCCATATCGTGACGAGAACAATTATTTGTATGCATAGCAATGGTAAACAATAAAAACCTGTCAACGAAGACAGTAAAATAAGTAGATTATCACAGATTCGAATTTAAAACTAGTAATTAAATCTAAAACAGTTTAACTATAGATGACAATACAAGGTAGAAACAGGCTATATATTGCTAACAACTGAAGGTAGATTACCATACTAGGGACCATGGGACTTACAGTACATTTGCTTCCTGCATGGACCCTAGCTGGATTTACACCATCCCCTCAGCTATTAGCAATGATAGATAATCTAGCCATAAATTAAAGGAACATATATTCTACGATTAAAATAGTAGTAGGTTTAAATTTACTTTGAATGTTTTGGGACTTACGTACCCTCTCAGGACAATAATTTTACACTACTTCACCCCCCTTTGAGGTCACTGCCACTAAGAACCTAAGTTACTAATGAAATCTACCAGTAATTAAAATACATATATGTACAGAAAATATTATTCAAAATTCATTCATTAAATCAATTTATTTTAAAAAGCCAATAATTAAATGAAAGTTAACAGTGTTAAACAGATCCTTAACTGTTTTCACATTGAAGTATTTATCCCTTATGATGGAGAACTCAACACAGTTATGCAGGACATGCTTGACCGTGGTTCTTTCATCACTAGGGATACAAAACGGACGATCCTCACCTTTCAATAGGTATGCATGAGTGTATCTAGAGCGGCCAATACGACATCGTCGCATGATGACCTCTTCAAATCTGGACTGACAACCCAAGTAAGTGTAACCAATATAGGGTTTTATTTCATGTAGTTTATTAATACCTACTTGGGTGTCCCACTTCTTCTGCATCAGATCACGGATGTAAGTTCTAATGCTAGCTTTGTAATCAGAGTAAGGAATAAGAAGTGGTGTCACAGATTTGTTGAGTGCTGCCTTGGCAGCAAGATCGGCCATTGTATTCCCAGAAATGCCAACGTGGCTGGGTAACCAACAAAAGACGATATCGCATTGGCCGGTAGCAAGCTCATTATACAATTCAATAATTTCTATTAAAAGTGGATGTTTACAAGAAAAACTTTTAATAGCCTGAAGGCAAGAAAGACAATCGGAAAATATTATGTATTGTGTATGTTTAGTGTGTCTTTGAATATATTTAAGAGCCGTTAATATCACAAGGACAATGCTAAAAACAAGTGGGTCTCCAACTTGCAGCACCAAGGATACTCAGATGATATACGCCAGTAGAAGAGTTGTAAATAACTAGTCCACCAGATTGGCCCATGAGCCACCGCCTTCTGGGCATAAGACTCTAGGCAAAGTTTATAACATCATAGTTCAAAATCACAAAAGTTTTAGATGAACATTTAGGCCAAGTCCGAAAGTAAAATAATTCCAAATCAGATTTGTGCAATGACATATAGATATATATATAGTCCATACACAGGGCTTGGCGTGACCAGCCGATTGATTGGACCGGGCCAGTTCAACCACCCGTCTAGGTGAAGTAAGGGCCGAAGTGGTGTGTTGGGCAAAGGAACACTGTTCCTGGAACCAGTGCCCTCAACCACCAGCCTCCCGTCCTCCACCGACACAGGGGCGCAACCCACGGCAAACGGGTTGGTGGACCAAATATACCCCCGGGTCCACAACGGGGTTCGAAGAGTGCTTAGCGTGACCCAGCACCCACCACGAGGAGGTGGCTCTTCACGGGTGCCTGTCGTTACGAGAAAAAAAATGACGTTGAAAAGTACTATGTCCATACGTGACACAATGACTGCAATGCCCTGTTCCGTCATATCAAGTTGGCAATTGGGCTCTACCCCATACAATACAACGGCAAGAGTCATGTGCACAGACACAACAACTTCAACATTTGCAAACTCAGTGACTGACAATAGATTAGGAGACGGTCCGTGCACATTCCACAAGCCAAGAACCACTACGCAGACGAGATACATTCTTAACTTCACCACAAATTCCTTGCGTTGCTTGGGTATAGCAAACTGGTTCAGTATAACTGTTAATGGTTAGAGTGTGTAAGTGAGTTAAGATTCACATCGGCAGTATTTCAGTCATATCGTGACTAAATCAAGTTGTAGATTCATAGTAATTGAAAGTAAATTTGTAGAACCTGTCGACGAAGGACAGTAAAACAACTGTTTTATCACAGATAAAGTTTAAAACTAGTAATTACATTTATGTTTTTGAACTATAGGTGACAATTCAATATAAAAACAGGCTATAGATTGTCAACAGCTGAAGGTAGGTCACTCTATTAGAGAACATGGTGGACTTTGAGTACCTTTGCTTCCTGCAAGGACACATGGTTAGAAGCCTCAATTACCAGGAATCGAGTCCATGAATCTATGTTTCGAGAAAATAATTCCATAAGACTTAGTGTGATAATTTCAAGGCTTTTCTGTTTTTTTCATTTCCAGTAGAACCAAAACTGCTGTGACGTGATGGATGCACTACCTCATTAAAGATAACAGAGATGGCTATATTTGTATACAAAATTAATTCATGAGACTATAGACAACACATACAATCAACAGCTTTGCCCAAACAATACCTTTCTGACAAATCAAATATATCAATAAATCTGTTCTTGGCAAGACCAGACGATTTATAGATCTGGGCCCATTTTACCACCTGTCGAGCTGAAGGATGCAAGTGGTGTATTGGGCAAAACTACCATGTTTCCTGGCTACTCTGCCCTCAACCGCGTCTTCCACAGACACAGGGAGAACACAGTGGCAAACAGGTTGCCCAGTTTGGTCACCTCTTACGACAAACAGGTTGCCCAGTTTGGTCACCTCTTATGACAAACAATGGGGTGCTGACGACCTATTGGTACAAAAAATATACCCAAACCCAAGTCCTCAAAGACTAAACACGGTGTGGAAAAGCAAAGACAAAATCTGACTGTTCAAACTGAAATCTGCTTAGACTTGTAAGATGTGACCCCTTCAGTAGTTCACCTGCACTGATGAATCAGTTGACAAGTAACTGGATATATATACATATATATATATATATATATGGGACAAGTTGTGTTGAGGCATCCCCTAGGTGTGTTTTGGGGGCGGTGGGGTAGCATAGTGGTTAAAGTCCTTGTGACGATAGACACATAACAATATTATGTTATTGTTATGACATTTTATGTTAGAACATTATTCGAATGTCAACTCATCGCCCGCGAGAACCATTACGACTTCGAATTTGTAAAAATAAAGATCTACGCACTGGCGCCAATATTGAGGGGACAAAATGTACAACGCAAAGCAAAATGCCAACTACTGTTGAAAACAGCCAACAGTAACGAACTGAAGGTGATTAAAAACTTAATTCTATTATATATTTTGGATTTTACCGGAATTTGAATCAATTTAGAAATGTATCAATGGTCGTTTTCCAGCTCGTGCCTTTTTACCTCCATGAGTGCCATGCCGTACGTGCTTCCGGTTTCATCACGGGTGGGTACACTTACAAATATTGTGATAATGTTTCATGATCTGCATTATTTAGGTATTGAGTCGTTTTCTTTGAATGTTTTTAAGTGCAGATTCTGCTTATGAACGCGTATTTTCAAACATCCTTCGTGTCTTGTCACCTAAAAAAACTGCGAGTTTGGAAACGCCCTTACGCGTCACCCACGGCTGTCAACAATGTCAGTGTGGGAAGGTTTATCCAACAAAATCTTTATAAACTCGATAAATATGATCATTTTGTTACAAAGACAATACCTTTTACCTAATCAGACCATGTAATTAATTCCAGCGAAAATAGTTGGATCTATCAAAGGATGGCACATTTTTTCGGTATCACGATGCATGTGGAAGTGTTTGTTTACCGCCGTTGCCATGATCGTTCCTATTCGTTCAATCGGTGATGTAACATTGAGATTGTTTTTGTTTATAATTAATTAAACCGAAAGTTACAAATATTTAGGAAATGGGAAATTTCAGCGTTTTCTCTTCACCAAAGAACAAAATTATTGATCAAACTATAAAAAAAATGTTTCATTATGAAGAAAACATGAGACAGGGTACTACTCGACGTGATGTGCCTGAAGTAAAAAAATGGCCGTTATTTGCGCTTGTGTGCCGAGAATTTTGGCGAAACATTTTTTAGTTCGCGGGCGTTTCGTTTAAAGGTACATAAACTAATGGAAGATTATATGTTCAGACAGCTGAGAATTGATTCATTCCATACATAATTCAAATGACACGTAAATCCGACTTGTTGAATAATTATTGCAAGTTTTATTTGGGGATGTCATTCTGCTGCTCTCCTGTCGAATGGGTTCGACAGTAGCATTGAAGGATTAATTCATTTGATGCATTTTAACTCATCAAAATAACACCAGGATTGAATATCGTGTTAAGTAATGCTCAAGGATCATTGAATCTGAATGTATTAAATTCGGCGTGACGAGAAAATGCTTCTAAACTGAGCATATTGAGGATCGATAGGAACAGAATAAAGATTGTATAATTTAATACATTATAGAAAACTACTTTCAGCAGATGAATTTTTAATCGTGGAGAGTAAAGGTGAACACAACCTTGCTATTTGTAAGCATTTATTAACATCAGGTTCAGAACTTCCTCCGTCTTCCCGTTCAGCCACCACCATGCAGCATACAAATATGCATGTGAAAGGAAGTTAGTGTCACGGTGCAGACTTCGCTTAACTCAGTTCTCTAACGCTGTACAGGAAAACAATCAAGCTGTGCAGCGGCAACCTGCAACATATATAAATATGTATAAACATACCATCTATATATGTGTTAATCTACGATCCACGTCCACGATAACATGCATCAACCCATTTGAGTCCAACTCGTGTTATACCGGGACAAGCCGAGTAGCGACTTCTTGGATGTAACGACAAGAATGGGCTGCTGAATTCTAACCTGGTTCGTCAGGGTACACGAGTACAATGCTCATTTTCTTTACAATAGTGATAGGCGACGGACTACCACAGTATTGGTGTCCTCGTCATATAGCGGCAAACATAAATACATTATGGTTTCCGCCCATAAATACATTGGGAATATAAACTACTAAGGGAAGTTTTGAAAATAATACTTTTGAAATAAGCTTAGGTTTCAAAAGTCTAATGAACATCTGTTCCTTTTCAACAAAATACTTATTGTATTTATGAAAGATGAAGGCAGTGACTGATACTATTTCACAGCCAGCTTAACAAGCCTCGTGTCAGTTAAATATTGAGTTAAAAACCACTCTCTGTGATCGATCTTTTGACTTACAGTCATATGACCTTGTCTTTACATACATATGATTTCTGATACAACTCGAGCTGTTTCACTAACATTACTGCAAACTTATAACATTAACCACTTATAGCGTAAACATTTACTGTAGGCAGGAAATACATAACTTACAGAGAGCGGAGTGCCCGATTCGTTTTCGGCTATAGAAAACTGCATCCGCATTCCATTCCTCTACTAGATCTCTGCGGAGTTCTGGGAGATGCAATTGTTCTAGTGCCACACACCAATGAACCCTAGTCCCAAGCCCAGGTTCGTCCTGAGGAGGTTGGGTTTGACCAAGTTACACCAATGTGTCGAACACCTGTCTTTGCGCTTTCTTCCTAGACGCCGTGAACTAAGTGCTCTAAGTGAGTTAACTCACTCACCAAAATATGTCACCAACTGGGCTTGAATTCGGTTTCTAATGGACAGACTGCACATAGAGGGCAAACATATGAACACTTACTAAATCATGCCGCCACTTAACACCAAGTACAGCATGACAGCCAGACACGTGTTGAGAAACTGTCCACTTGCCCTGTCTGTAATGAAAGTAAGCGTAGCTAAAACCTTACTTAATTCACATACAACAAATTTATATAAATGAAGTGTTGTCAAATCCTACGCCAATAGTTTCCTTGTTGGTTTTCAGTTTGCATGCACTTAATCCAGGAAATATCTGACGTGGTCATTCACTTATTAATGATCAACATCAACACACAGTGTTATAACACACCGAAAAACTGGCATCAACGAAAATATATATAAGCAATAAATATATAAAATATGAGTCCAGATATTTTTCTTGTCAAATATCCTTTATATCTGCACAGCAGTTTTAATTGTACACCTGAAGAACCGTTGAACGGCGAAAGATCTTGTGCAGATATAAAGGAGATTTGACAAGAAGAAATATCTGGACTCATATTTTATATATATATTCGCTGATATACATACTCTTCTGGGATCTCAGCACTGTGCAAACGGACCATCCTTTCATATACTGTGAAAACCCCGTTGGTCACAATACATACATATACCTTGATGCTAGTTCTCTTTTTACGTCTTTGTGTATGAACATTGAATTGATATCCAGTGTATTGCATTAATCTAATCCTGCGAATCAGCCTCGGGTCTTCAACGCGGTGATCGAACCTCAAAACAAGGACGATACCATAATGCGGAAACTTTCACAAACAGCAATTTATTTTGATTTAACTATATATTTCCGTAAATAGCATACATTTGATACACGGTTTATTATCTCAATAGGATGTGGCTTACGGAAGTGTTTTTAACTATAAACGATGTTCAGCTTCAACAATCCCATGCCTTAGTCATGACTCACTGAAACCTAGGGTAGCCGAGAACTCAAATCTCTCGACAGGGTGACACCCTTCATGCATCCACTGGGATAGATATAGGTACGCTTATAACGAACCCTCTTATAATAAACTGACTTTTGTTCCTGGAAACAATGTGCATATGTTTGTCGAAATACGTGTAAGGAACTACGGGAAAAACGAACTTAATTAGGAATTCTTTGCGTCCGTGATAATTGATGTTAACCCTACATTACTGGAGTTGTGCTCCAAGCTCTTAAGTACAAGAAATGAAGTTGTTTCTTTTGCCGAGTCTAAGCATTCTATGGTATACCATCATTGTCAGTACCAATGATGTATAATCAACAACCTATACCGAAAAGGACAACAGACAAACGAGAATTTAAGCAGGTTACTGTTTTTGTACTACCTGATGTATTGATGCTGGTAGTATCTGCAGTGCCTGTCAAATACAACACACAGAGATATCAAGTGTAGCTCGGAATATTTCCGAAAAGAACAATAAATGGGTTTATGTTTCCAAATTTAATGAGTGCACATGGTCGAAGCATTATAGTTGCATGTTCAGTCAGCGGACTAATGCCAGAGTTACGTACCTTTGGCATATAAGGAACCGATGTTTTCGGGCTCAGTTCGCAGATCCGGTTACAAGTGCTTACAGCTTACAACAAATGAAACTTACAGAATATTGCTAGATTTCACATGAACTGAAACAAGCTACGTTTTATACAAACTGATGCTGTTGATAAAATCAATCAATCAATAAATATATTACCTATGCGATTACTTTCTGATGAGTAACTTGGCACGGCAGCTGATGTGGTTGCGACGGTACCGAACCCTCCATGCAGCTCTACAAATAGTTTGATAGTTGGAATGCTTTAACATGTCAGCGACAATTGATAAAGATACATATTCCTTTGTTAATATATCAGGTTATATCATGATTAGAGTTGTTGAGATCAATCATATCACAATTAACATGCCAACAAGGTCACCATAAGAGACGACAAGTACCATCGTGGTACTCTCTGTTTTCGGTGAAGCGGTTCTCTTACGATATATACTGTTATCAAATTGAAATAACTTCAGTTTCTCTTGATGGCTTTACAAATACAATAATATAATAAGGTGATTATAACATTACAATATTACAATATCGCGTAGGTACCGCTCAAATATTACGATTTTTCTCAGCTATTATATGGTAAATGATGCAATACTAAAGAAAGCACAGTCCACATTAAATATTACTGTTATATATACGGTAGGAATCTATTTGTATATACGGGAAATATTTATGAAATTTAATATGATACATGTTTCACTATCATTCTAGAGTCGTAGTGTGTCGTTTTAAAACGTTTGTTTGATTGTCAAGCCGGTGTCAAGCTTATTTGGGTGTCGTTCCCCACCATAGCTAAAATAAGTAAAACGCAATTCTCGCATCCCCCATCGGCATATAACCCGGTTCTGCATAAAACATAACCAACTAAGTCTCGTCATGCATAGGCTGATGTGTATTACCCATATGGTGAGACATAACCAGTGTCAAATGCATAATATATGCACATGTGTACATACCACTTTTGCCTAGCAACCATTGTTTCTGTATTTCGTCGTCTGTGACGTCATTAAACAATTGACGTCCAGTCAGTGAACAGGACCCTCACACTTGCTTACCGTGTTTTACTGCACAAAGGTACATGAATAAAATGGATAAAAAAGAAATTATTACACTCGAGCAAGTGTGTCATACAACGGATACGAAACTCGTTAAAAATTTTGTGATACAAAATTTCACACTCGTTTCGTAGAAGTCGTACGACACCCTTGCTCATGTAATAATCTATTTATATGACAATATAAGGGATACGAGAACTGGGTTTTACTTATTTTACCCATGAGGAAACTGACACCCATAAAGGAAACCAAAAACTACCACGATAGAATAATAATGAAACATGTATCGTATTAAGTACACGAAATTACCTATCGTTATGCTGTTACTAATGTCATTGGCGTCCATATTGGAGCAGATCGATTCTAAGTTTCTGTCGACGCTGGCGTTGATCCTCAGATTCACGGAATGTTGACTTGTATCACAGTTTACTTCCATTCGGCTTGATAAGTCGTACATGTCAGCCTTGAAAATGGATATTTCACAGCCGCTTTGCGCGATCTGTGTTTGGAAGTTCTTTTTCCGATTGATAAGCCAGTCAATGCTGGTGTAACTTTTATTTTGACTACAAGTCATTGTGACGATTTCTCCATCTGATGCTATTGCAGGGAAACTGGTTAGCCCTATAAGGTATAAAAATAAATATGTAGCTGTGCACATTTACCCGAGGCAAGGAAGTTAACAGCCTATAAAACTCAAGTTCACTTTTGCAATCCAGAGCGCGACGTTTCCAAATCGCTAGGGCTGGATAAAATGATCGATACTAAGAAATATCGTTGATAGGAAAAAGTATTAATGATTATCGATATGAAAATTGTGTCATCGATAACATCGTACCTTAACTTAATAGAGATAAGTTTCTGTATTCTCACACAGTATACAGATTTAGGACTTTATTCCTGGTCTGCATTTTAATTATGTTCAGAACGCTGTTTTGTTAATGATTCATGCAAAAACATGTCACAACTCACAAGTGATGTGAAAATATTCATTTCCTTCAGACATTTTTGGTATTTTTCGCTGAAAATTACGTCTCCGATATTTACGGATAACCGATCGATATTTAGTTCACCAGTCTCGATCTCTATTATCTCGATAGCCAGTCCTACAAATCAATGACAAATTCCATATCGATATTTTAGTCCATTGCAGGATTTACAACTCGTATACTGTCAGCTGGGCTTGGACACCTGCCTTTCTATTCATGTTGGTAATCCGCGGGATACCCAAGTAATTTGATCACTTTGAGAGGAAACATCAGTTATATTTTTTTCCATTTTGTAGGTCCAGATTATTTATCAGATCGTCTTAGTCAGGCACCACCACTTTTTAAAGACAAATTGAGGATAATCTACAGTTAGAAAGTGACTGGTCAAATAGAGGTTGGATATTGGTGGTGCTATGCTCAAGCGATGAAATTCCTGCCGTCTTCGGCAAGGGTCAAACGTGGCTGTTTATAGTCAGATAACTCCCTTTCCTATGGAGTGAGTGAGTATAGTTTAACGCCGCTTTTAGCAATATTCCAGCAATATCATGGCGGGGAACATCAGAAATGGGCTTCACACATTGTACCCATGTGGGGAATCGAGCCCGGGTCTTTAGCGTGACGCTTAACCATTATGCTACCCCACAGATCCTTTATGGGGAACATGACTGGCATATAATATAATCCCAAATGAATGGCACTCTTTTCATACTAATTCAAGTGTTCGTTTGGATGATAACTTATTTGCTGAACGGAATTTACATGGAAATCCTGTTTGTTTCCAGACAAATGTCACGTTATTTTATAGTTCATATTATTGGTGACACTCGTTTACAGATAGTACATAAACATGTGTGGGTGTTGCGTGGTCCTGTGCACTGAGCTCAGGTCACAATCAGTTGAAGCTAAGCAACGTTGTGCGCGGAGAGTCCTTGGATGGGTGACAGTGTGTAACAGCTTGACTCCTGGGCCTAAATTTTGGAACCTCTCTTAGCACTAAGATAGTCGTAAGTGCCATTCATTAACATTAACCTACGACTATCTTAGCGCTAAGAGAGCTTCGAAAATCTAGGCCCTGAGAGTTTGTGGTCTGATACATGTGGTCTCACCTTAGGCAAGTGAGTTAGTTCAAAATTGCCTCTGTTCACCCAGCAGAAAATGGGTACCCGTGAACTAAATCGTGAGACTATTAACCTTGTAGCGCCTAACAGGCAGCTTGGGTTATCCGGGGTAATAACGATCAGACTGTGCGCTTTGAGCAGGATATATAGTCTGGAAAAGGCGCGTTATAAATGTTCTCCTTATTATTTGCTTACCTAGCTCCGATGCGTCCACTCGAAAGACAAGGCATGACAACAGGATACCAAACATCGATGCACTATTGGTTGACAACGGCACACAGCTGACGGCTGTTGGTTTGTGTGGCGACACTCACCCAGTGTTTGTGTGTAGTACTAGATACTGACTTTTCTTTATGATTCAATACGCGTTTCGAGTTCCTTGTTCGTGTCATCGTTGGATGTAAATGAACATGTTTCGAGATCCTCGGTTTTTCATTAGAAATTGACTAACATATCCGGTTTCCGCCATAGCGTGTTGATGAACGCATCTCCTCGCTTTATTGAACATATTGAACCAGGAGCTGCGTGTTGTTACAGATCGCCATACCCCTTGTAAAGTTAGACTGAACAAATGACGCAGAAAAATATGAAACCAAGAGGTTCAGAAACAAGGCGGATCAGCTTTCTGTGGTGACGTTGAATTATCACTCGCTCTTACAATAACTTCCACATGACAACATGTATACAGTATATTTACTCTTCAAAAAGGGTCACAGCTTAGACTACGGTAACAAACATGTGGCCAATGTGTAGCAAATAAGTATAAAAACCACCAGTCATATACGTGTTTGTCTTCAAAATTTATTCCAGTCAACACGTAATGTACAGTTACAATATTAATCTGTGCATCAGAGCCACTTTCCAAACACATAGATGCTTACTTTACACCTAAATCAGAGATGCAGAATCCTAAATTATCTCGGAATTACAACGCAGGCAGTCTGTAATATATCACATTACATAATATAAATTAAACATGCGTTATAAATGGCACAAAAGAAAAAACGCTTCTTTAACAGGTTAAGATTTTTTCAAAAAGATATATTTGATTTCGTGAACTCTAGACTGAGCATGCGTGGAGGGGCTGGGCTTTATACTTTTATCATTCAGTGAGTGAGTGAGTGAGTATGTTTAGACACCGCTTTTAGCAATATTCCAGCTATATCACGGAGGGGGGACACCAGGATGGCCTTCGCACATTTTATCAGTGGGGAGAATCGAGTACAGGATTGAAAATATCGGATAAAAACGAACTATGATTCATATTGTCATATCCGGGAGTTATTGACACACATCTTATGATACCAATACAACAAAAATTCAGAGAGTTGTATTATTGTTTAAATTCGCCACATGCTATGGTTTATAGAAAACGACTATACAACAGCAGTCCTACGTCTACGATGGTCACGAGATGGACAGTCATAATTGTTCGCGGTTGCGATGTAAGCACTGATATTTCCCCAAGTTTCCCAATTCCTGTTACGAAAGTATTTTGGGCATGGATGGAATATGTCGTAAGGACGAAAGAGCAGTCCTACTTCCAAGATCCCCATGATTTGGATTGTCCAATTCCTTTAACTACAGTGTGTTGAGTGAGTGAGTGAGTGATTTAAAATGTATCGTCACGTCAGCAATATTTCAGCCATATCGTGACGAGAACAATTAATTTCATACATAGTAATTAATGGTAAATTGTACAAACCTGCCAACGAAGGACAGTAAAATAGCTAGATTATCACAGATTCGAATTTAAAACTACTAACTAAATCTAAAACAGGGTAACTATAGATGACAATACAATATGAAAACAGGCTATAGATAACCAACAACAGAATGTAGATCACTATACTAGGTAACCTGGGGACTTCCAGTACCTTTGCTACCTGCATGTACCCTAATTGGATTAACACAATCCCTTCAGCTGCTGGCGACTGTACCAAATGTTAACCAAAATTAAAATAACAAGAATATTACGTCTAAAAATCCTGGTAAGTTTGAATTGACTTTGACAATTTTGGCGCTTACCTGCCCTCTCATGGGGACAATGATTTCACAGTACAGTATGTTGAACAAGGGCGAAATATGTCGTAACGAGGAAACGCAATACTGTACATTGGTGGTACCCAGATATAAGGAGGTTGTTCCTGGCCTTATTTCAGTATGAAACCAACTCCATGTACAGCATCAGCATGGTACCCCGTGATACCCCATGACCTCTCCTCTTGCCAAACTGCAAACGTTAATGATGCGATGTTAAAATGAAAAGAACGTTGAAATTATCAGTTAACTAAACTGGACATGAAGCATGGATTCATATTGCCAAGATCACATCTACATACACACCTACATTTAGGATAGACACCTCCAATCTGATAATTTATAAGGATATATCCTGATCATAAGCAACTCAAATACATGGCCTTTAATTAATTTATAAACAAAATGTTCCCTACCTTATAATGCATTCATTTAACACCACTCACGCACAACAAAACATCTACAATGAATTCATTGTCAAACGAATCTTTAGGATGCACTTAAACAAGGCAAGAAGCAGAGCCACTCAAGAGATTTTGGAGACTACCCTGTCGAATCTTTTGAACTTGGTACTTGATCAGCCATCAGCGGCTGAAAATGTAAACATTGTTTGAAAGGTATAAGTGACACTTTTTGTGAAAAATTACATGATAACTATTGCATATTTAATACACGACAATGAGATTTGTGTTGCAATTGTGAAAAGGACAGAAGAGACGGACTGACGGATCGAATGCCATACACTTCCCAAGGGTTTAACATTTCCAACATCACAAGATAAAAGTGTATTGATGACAACCTCTGTCATTAGAGGAACCCAACACAGATGGCAGCAACTTCCACCAGAGTTCCCTTCTTTTCCAAACACATCAGCAAGAACCAAGACCATACCATCATGCGTGAAAACACTAACAACCTAATGAACTACTGGGCACATTGGTACTTTCTCACTGCTCTTGATTCACAGGTACTTATATAGCTGTCCGCTTCCTATCCTTCATTTCATCTGATGGAGGAGTAAGAAGTTCTACAGAAACTGACATTCATAAATGTTTACCTTTATTGGGCATCACTTCAAAATGTCACTCAAAGATGATATTTTGAACATAACTATAAATATTTGCGGTTTAAAACGAATTCGATGGCAGAGAAAGATCCCTTGAAGTGACATTGAAGTCCATTTCATCACCGTGACTCATCACGAAAACATTGGTTTACGATCCTGAACATGACAAATGAGTATGCATGTTTAGATAATGTCTACGTCAAAACCATGAATAAAAAACAGACAAACATCAACATCAGATTTTTCTTGAGTGGATATTTATATACATTAGACGGTGTGAAACTCTTCAGTGAAGACAGTGACCAGACAATGGACGTTGGCGATGGCTGTTGCTGGCACCCACCATAGTATGAGGTTAGTTTAGGAATACATGTATGTGCGAGTATGTACATATACACGTAGTACATTTTTAACAAAGATTATGTACCTATGAGAAGAACATATCTCTTCGCTTGCCACGATGCACTATCAATAGATTTGTCAAATTATTGGGTGATTGGTGCTTTGAATATTTAACCAACATACAACAATTTAATAAAATAATGGATGCTTTCTACACATCGGGCTACTGATGGTTCATATTTACCTTCATGTTGTCCTGAGTACGCAAAGAATGCCAGTAACTACAGGGCAAGCCTTGATTCAAATTCATTTGGGAGGGTCTGAATAGAAATTTAACTAGAAACCTTTAATGTGTTTTTTTTCATATCCTGGAACTATAATTAACGTCGGATTGTCACTTTCCATTTCGAATCTCTAGAGCTTCGATACATTTCTCAAACTTTAATGTTTTACTCATACTCCTGAGGGTCATGTGGGAACTATTGTAACTGGTGTTTTAGAAACCATTAAGTTCTAAATATTATTACAGAAACAAATATCATACACTGATGTTGATATTGTACATTACAAAGGAGGTTATATCCAGTTTGTTTCATACAACTCAATTTCTACCTGTATCTCCCATTTGCCGGCATCGTCTGGTAATCGGTGTAGCGGTACAAGGCTCCGTTTCATCCGGCCATTATTCAACAAATACACAGCGCTGAAACACATTGATGACATGTAGTTTATTACAGTGTTTTTGTTTTTACTTTATTCACATTTCTTATAGTTTACTAAGACCTACAACAAGAAACGAATAATACCAATAAAAATGAGCACACTGTATCTTGCAAACTGGAAATAATAGCGGCTACCTTTCCCGATGGTTCCTTAAACGGTTCAAATAGTAGCCACGTATGCACCTGTACTCTAGGCACACGGTTCTGTAATCCTGGACTTACGTTTGTTTTTGTTCATTGATGTATATGAGGGCAAACAATATGTTCTTCCACACCTTTATTGACAAACATGCTCCTCCAATCAGCCTTGTACATGGACAGCTCCCAATTTCCTTTATAGGAAACGGTTCTTCGAATACTCCATCTGAATTGCACAGTAATATCTTTCTGGCTGCAACACATAATGATAACGATACCTGTACAACATGACACTTAACGAAGAGGGAAGGTTGACAATATTGTGGCAGACTCAAATGTTTATACAGTGTAGATAATAATTATTTCTAATACTAATTCAGTTACACGGCGCCTAGTATCTATCTGACTAGTGTTTCACTGGACACCGCAGTCAGAATCTGATCATGATTACCCCGAATAACCCAAGCAGCCTGAGAGGCGCTAGAAGGCTCACAGTCACATGAAGTATCTACTGGGTGAACAGGGTCAATTTTGAACATGTTTACTTGCCAAAGGTGAGGCCACATGTATCACATGCACTTCATCGTGGGGCAGGATTGAAGTCCTAGAAATTCTGAGGAGTCAAGCTGCCAAACACGGTCACCCATCCATGGATTCTCCAAGCTCGACGATGCATAACTTCAACTGATTCGTGACCTGATTCTACGCACAGGACCACACACCACCACAAATATCAGAAGTTGTTCACTGGTCACGAGGGGGGCATGGGTTAATGCACCCTCTATGTTTATGTTTATGAACGTAAGCAAAATAGATGGTACATTAAACTTAGAGGGTTCATGGGATGGAGAGACAGTACAAACGCTGATTGTTTTACTTATTATTTATGTCACACCCACACGCACGATGATGCATGATGCACCTTCTATGTCTGTTTATGTTCCCCAGGGGAACAGTGAACAGTGTATTTATCTTCCCGAACAACTCAATGTTAATTTTGAAATGTTTGAGCCACGAGCATCGGATCAAAATGAGGAGTACCAGAGTTAGGCAATTTGCCGATACCGACAGCAGACAAAATACTACTTATACCATGTACTAGTTCGGCATTTCCAGCGGGTAACATAAAAAATGGTACTCGCTTGTAAGCGGGATACATTGATTGGTTCAGCCAATCAGAAAACGACACTGGTCACGAGGGGGGCATGGGTTGATGTACCCCTATATTTGTTTATGTGATGAACAAGTTGACCAATGATGAACAAGTGATGAACAATGGGCGCCGAGGGACCAGCAAATAACGTATTTATCTTACGAACATCTCAATTAGGTGATACACCTACTGTGTGGGAAAATCAGAGGTATATAACGAAATTATAATAGCTCTAAATTTCATTTACAACCTCACGCTACGCGTTCGGTTATAAATGAAATTTAGAGCTATTATAATTTTGTTATATACCTCTGATTTTCCAACACAGTAGGTTTATCTCCATTCTACCATGACAATTTTTTTCAGGTGGAGCTCTTTCTTTGGTTACGAGTCAATACGTGAAGCGGCCTCGCATTCCAATTTCAAGTGGCATCGCCCGAAATGGATATTATTTTCTACATTTTGGAAAGTGTTTTGTGACCTAGTGGCTTCAAAGTGTAGTGAATTCAAATTGAATCGGATTCGCTGGCATGTTCGCGAGTCTGTTGACAAAGGGCCAGATTTGTGGTGATATTTCCGAAAGGATGGATCAGGACATGAGGGTGTACCTCTGGCATAAACACGGTAAGGTAATTAGTTATACTTTAATAGACTACTTTAGATCAAGCAGTGTAATGGATAAAAGGGATCATGACTAAGCTAAATAACTTTTTCAACGACATTATACTTTTAGAAAAAAAATATGTTGGGCTAAACAGAACGGTTTGCAGATTCTGTAATTTCAAAATATCATTTTGTTTGAATTGATAACCCAACTGTTTATTTATGTGGACGGAAGGCATTAAACATTTCTTTGGCGTTCGATGTTAATGCATCCTCCGTTACCGATCAAGATCAGTGGCGATATCGTTGACGAAAGCTGATAATATATTGGACACGCAAATTATGTAGCAGTCTATTGCTGGATCTATTCTGACATAACATAGAATCAACGTAAACATATTTGTTTTTGCTGAATTTTTATTCGGAAAGCAGACGATGTTTTGATCTTGTTCGACTGAATATTTGTTTCCATGTTTTTGAAGTACTTTTGTATGTATAAACACCTATTGCTGTGATTTATGCAAGTAGTGAGTCGAGCCCGTCATCGCCAAATCCATCTTTAAAGGCATATGTGTAATCACCGTAATTTATCGATGCATCGGTAGGTTGTTTGGTGTCCGCCATGTTAGTGGGCAGACAAAAATTGTGCATTACCGTAAACCATGTATGATTGCGCACGGAAAACAGAGACCTGTATAACGTAATTATATACCTCTGAATGACTTTAATTAACCAATCACAATCCGGTGTTTACTGATGTCATGGTAGATTGTTAATTTCTAACTGTTCCAAGCACGGGTAGTGGATCATAATATTGAGTACCTGAGTTAGACAACAGTTCGGCATTTCCAGCGGGTAACATAGAAAATGGTACTCGCTGGTAGCGTTGTACATTGATTGGCTCAGCCGATCAGAAAACGACATTTATGTGTGAGGTAAAAAATATATATAGGCAGTCAAGGCAGTCAAGGTAGTCAATGCAGTCAATGCAGTCAAGGCAGTCAAGGTAGTCAAGGTAGTCAAGGCAGTCAAGGGAGTCAAGGTAGTCAGGGTAGTCAAGGCAGTCAAGGTAGTCAAGGCATTCATGGCAGTCAAGGTAGTCAAGGCAGTAAGGTAGTCAAAGCAGTCAAGGCAGTCAAGGTAGTCAATGTAGTCAAGGCAGTCAAGGTAATCAAGGCAGTCAAGGCAGTCAAGGTAGTCAAGGCACTCATGGCAGTCAATGTAGTCAAGGTAGTCAAGGTAGTCAAGGCAGTCAAGGTAGTCAAGGCACTCATGACAGTCAAGGCAGTCAAGGCAGACAAGGTAGTCAAGGCAGTCAAGGTAGTCAAGGCAGTCAAGGTAGACAAGGTAGTCAAGGCAGTCAAGGTAGTCAAGGTAATCAAAGCAGTCCAGGCAGTCCAGGTAGTCAAAGCAGACAAGGTAGTCAAGGCAGTCAATGTAGTCAATGTAGTCAAAGAAGTCAAGGTAGTCAAGGCAGTCAAGGTAGTCAAGGTTGTCAAGGCAGTCAAGGTAGTCAAGGTAGTCAAGGTAGTCAAGGTAGTCAAAGCAGTCAAGGTAGTCAAAGCAGACAAGGTAGTCAAAGCAGACAAGGTAGTCAAGGCAGTCAATGTAGTCAATGTAGTCAAAGAAGTCAAGGTAGTCAAGGCAGTCAAGGTAGTCAAGGTAGTCAAGGTAGTCAAGGTAGTCAAGGTAGTCAAAGCAGTCCAGGCAGTCAAGGTAGTCAAAGCAGACAAGGTAGTCAAGGCTGTCAAAACAGTCAAGGCATTCAAGGCAGACAAGGTAGTCAAGGCTGTCAAAACAGTCAAGGCAGTCAAGGCAGTCAAGGCAATCAAGGCAAGGTATTCAAGGCAGTCGAGGCAGTCGAGGCAGTCAAGGTAGTCAATGTAGTCAAAGAAGTCAAGGTATTCAAGGCAGTCAAGGCAGTCAAGGCCATCGAGGCAGTCGAGGCAGTCGAGGTAGTCAAGGCAGTCAAGGAAGTCAAGGTAGTCAAAGCAGTCCAGGCAGTCAAGGTAGTCAAGGCTGTCAAAACAGTCAAGGCATTCAAGGCAGACAAGGTAGTCAAGGCTGTCAAAACAGTCAAGGCAGTCAAGGCAGTCAAGGCAATCAAGGCAAGGTATTCAAGGCAGTCGAGGCAGTCGAGGCAGTCAAGGTAGTCAATGTAGTCAAAGAAGTCAAGGTATTCAAGGCAGTCAAGGCAGTCAAGGCCATCGAGGCAGTCGAGGCAGTCGAGGTAGTCAAGGCAGTCAAGGAAGTCAAGGTATTCAAAGCAGTCAAGGCAGTCAAGGTAGTCAAGGCAGTCAAGGTAGTCAAAGCAGTCAAGGCAGTCAAGGTATTCAATGTAGTCAAGGCAGTCAAGGTAGTCAAGGCAATCAAGGTAGTCAAGGCAGTCCAGGTAGTCAAGGCAGTCCAGGTAGTCAAGGCAGCCAAGCCAGTCAATACCATCGGAAACTTTCCGTTACACCCAGCCTAACTTGCCCTCTGACTCGGGCATTGTCTGTGATCAAAGTCCTCCTTCTTATGACTTTCTATGAAAGCTAATCTAACAAACGTCAAGGTTTGCACGGATCTTAACGTGACTACGGAATTCAGTACCATGTCACACAACAGACAAAACAGCAAAGTTATTTTTTTTATCATATATTGGCCAAAGAGCTCTACAATCCTAGGTATAGCTAAAGATAGGACCTGGTACCTTTACCGTCCTCCATACCTGCTTAGCAATTCATAGGACGGTGGGGTAGCCTTGATCTTATGCGTTCGCTCGTCACGTCGAAGGCCCGGGTTCGATTCTACACATGTGTGAATCCTATTTCTGGTGTCCCACACCGTGATATTCCTGGAATATTGCTAAACTCGGCGTAAAGATTCACTCACTCACTCACCAAAGTTGGCCGCACTTTCTCTTGTCGATATTGCACATAATCAAAACAAGTAAATAATCAGGGTTCCAATTGATCGCGTATAACAAAAAAGTGTTACTTGCATGACTGTCAATACTGAAAGTCGCACTTGATATTTCATAATTCTATATTCATCCCAAATGACCTTAAAGAATACTGTTGAAATCTGCTTTGTCCCGGTACGAAACCTGCACATTCAATGTACTTACATTTTCCTTCTGTTTGAAAACTGTTTAATGTCTTCATATTTGTTTGTAATGCACGCCTCCTGGTACCAGGGTAAGACGACAGGATGACTGTGATTGTGCCGTCTTTCTCCTGACTCAGCAGGAACAATCTGAAAGGACAATCATTTTTCCCTCTTTCTCTGTTCTTCATTTATGCATATCGTCCCTTTTTGTTAGGGGTACTTCAACACAGCATTTCCCTCTGATTGTTCAAGATAGGCACTTGCAGTATAGACTGACTGAGTTTGGTTTTACGCCGCTTTTAGCACTATTCCAGCAACATCACGGCGGGGGACACCAGATATGGGATTCACACATTGTGCCCATGTGGGGATTCGAACCCGGATCTTCAGCGTGACGAGCCAACGCTTTAACCATTAGGCTACCCCACCGCCCCCACTTGCAGTATAGAAGTGAATAAATTGTTAGACCATTCATATTACTTGTAAAGGCATGGCAACCTCCAGTGGCAAGGCAGCTCCCAATTCTGCGAAGTGTGAGGTTCAAGGGTATTTCAAGGGTATTCAAGTAGAAAAATAATATGAAATAGTATGAAATTTCCATACTCAATATTCCGCCAAAATGCCGTTCCATAAATGGGACAATGTGCAGATTAGTGTACTTATATTAGGTAATTGTTTAGGATCGTTACGATCAAATTGTAAAACCATGTATCATCATGGGTGATCTGAACGGACACAATCCGCTTTGGGGAAGTGTCCATACTAACAATAAAGGTAAAATCCTTGAGGAATATATATAAGAGAATAACCCCTGTAAATTTAACAATGAATCACACACTTATCTACATCCAGCTACTGGAACATATTCTGCCCTCGATCTGGCACTCACCGATTCAACTCTGTATAATGAATTAGAATAGCTGGGCCATGACGATGACCTATGTGGGAGTGATCACTTCCCCACCATTCTTAAAACTCTAAACCCCGCGTGATGATCCTCCAAGAAGGAACTTCACCAGGGCTGTTTGGCCATTACGTAAGACCCTATGTATGGTCGAACACTTGAAACGTGGCCTTTTCATCAACGTAAACCATGGTTCAATAATAAATGCAAACAAGCCAGAAAGTGTAGGAAGAAAGCCAAAAAGTAGTTTCGACGATATCCTACCGTGCATGATTTGAATACAGTTAAAATCTTAAATGCCAAGGCTCGATGTGCATTTAAACAGAATACGAGGTGTGGAACATGGTACAAAGAATAAAGGGCAAAGGTTCAAAATCATCCGTTCACCATTTGAAGGACGGTGATAATTTATTAAGTGATACAGTTGACATCGCCAACGAACTTGGTGACACTTTCTCCAAGCATTATGTTGAGGGTAATGCCCGAGTAACTCTCTATTCCTTAAAAATAATGGAGCCGAGGCCCCGGAGGGGCCAAGGCACATTATTTTTAAGGAATGGAGAGTTACGAGGATATTACCCTATTTAAATTACATTCAAAGTATTGGGAATACTTCTGTTATCAAAATAAAATGTCAAAATAACAAAATGAAGCTTTGAATTTGAAAATGGTACACAAAGTAATGGAGCGAGCAGACAATGGAATGACGTCACCAATGTAATTTAACTTCGTCTAATTATGTCCTTGAATTTCCGAATACATCTAAAACAACATCTAGTTCATAACTTCTAAAACCGTTTGTGATGTACTTTCAGTAAAAAATTACTATTTAATCAAGTAAACTAAATGAGTCATGCTATTTTCGCTATATAATACTTACTATGACATACAAAGAAATTCTTAATAAAGGCCCTTCACTTTTCTCCACGAAAGATGCACTGGTGTTGCACTTTCATCGCGCGTGTGAATGCACCTATACCAAGTAATGGCAAATAACCCTGTACTCATCTGTGTACATGACGCTCTTTGGCGGTGTAAAGAAAGTACGGAAAAAAATAGTTACTGGTAAAATAACACCCAATTCCTTTCATTGCTTACCCAAAGAAACAAGCTCATAAAATTTGATGAAAATCTTAGATCCTAGGCATATATGGGTTAATATTCACTGCGGCATGGTGTCTCAGTTGGCTAGCACTATAAAACCAGCTAAAGTCTGGCCTAGTACAAGCAGCTGCACATACACCTACACATGCATGCACGTCGTCATTTGAGCGAAATATTCTCATGCACGACGTTAAACCCAATTTCACCTCACCCCACCTCCATGCTTGATCACAATGCCAGTGTTATTAATCTCATTCCATCTCAATGCAATTGACCTGTTAGCAAAATATATTCCAAAGTGATGTAATAAATAATGTGTGTCTCCAAGGAAAATTGAAAAGATAACATGATCATGATCAATCAAATGAAAGTGTTTACCGTCTTTGAGAGTCAATAATAACATCTAGTGGATTTGTCACCGGTATGGATGTTGGCGGTTGTCCTCCAAACCTTTTGTTAGTACGTTGTAACACAAAGGATGAGCGGCGAAGTGTAAACTTCATATGGTTCACAGGATCCTCTATTGTCTTAAGTACATCTGGAACTTAGAGGTCAAGTGTGCCATTACACACCTATGTAGTTTATCACATGTTTCAATGTTTCATCATGCCATACAAGCATGGGAAGTTCAAAGATATAATAAAGATAACCTTATGCTTTTTCATAACGACACAGATATGTTCTACTTTTTATATCATGAATTGTAAATGATGTTTGAAAGTTTCAATTTAAAAAGAAAAGAAGCTTTATCTGATTTATTCATATCAAAACAAATGAACTATTGGGAATATTTACATTTCATGGTGATTCGTTGGCTGCGTGCCACCCTCATAATCATATTTACATGTGTTATAAGAGATTGAGTTGTCAACCAAAGCATATGCTCCAAGGGCTTGTAGCTGACCCCGATAACGCCTCTGCAGTGTACTCTGGTTTCATACAATAATTGTTGGTTTTTAATGTTCAGATAGAAAACATGTCCACCAGTGGTTATAAGAACTATATCACTGCGCCGTATTCTGGACGCCACCGTGGCACGGTATTCCTGGGGACCTGCAGACATATCAAACAGCCGTTAATGATGGTGTGTTCTACCAACAGGTTTCACATTTCATCTACATCACGCCAAGCAACTTTGAATACACCTTAAGGATGCGAAGTTGCGCTTCTCACTTTGGTATATATTTATCTCAGAATGAATAATCGAGGAAATGAATGAAAACCGATTCATTTGTAGCTGGAGTAAACTGATGCCAAAAACATGGTACGGACTTATCGTTAGTGGAAATGCAGTAATGTGAATGTCATTCACAAACATCGTTTTAGGTTGCTGGAAATTCTCCCTGATTAAGCTTCGCCACGAAAGGGTGATAGTAAATGAAGGTTAAGTCCATCCGCGATAAACTTCTTTCTGGGCCATAACAAATAAAAATAATATTATGCAGCGCACATATCCACGCAACTAGTACATGCTCAAGCCGGTGGCATTTTTCCCCCATAGATCATTGGATGTCAGTCTCAACGGCACATCGCATTATCAATCTCAACTCCCTGGGGATTATACAACTCTTGCAGCACAAAACCAAAACAAGAAGTGTTTTACCTTCCAGACGACATGAACCTGGTTGTCCTCTGAAGAAGAAATTCTTTCTTTGCAAACCACGGCGGTGAAATGGCCATTTGTTTCTCTTTGGTGGTCGTTTGGCAGAATTATGAATTCCGCGAATATGTTTAGCTGACTTTTTACCATCTGAAGACCCATTCCTGTGGACTATAGTTACTTGGTCTATTGGCATCTGACCCTGGATGGTGTTGTGTCCAGCCTTCTGGGTAGGATATGTTAACAATATATTAAACAACATCTTTCTAATGAATAAACATTTGCTAGAAGATGGGCATCTTAACATGAAAAGGTTATTGTAATATGTTGCAACATTACGTAATATTACCCCAGGCACTAAATGCATTGATGCCATCTGTTAGTAAATGACCATAGGTATTGTTATTTTTTAATCTAATAGTTCAGAAAATAGAACCCAAATATCATCCACCCATGTATGTATGTATGCAAGTAAGTGTGCCTGTGTCTGTGTGTTCGTGTGTGTGTGTGTGTGTGATGTAACGTCAATCCTAATTCTACCTTAAAAAGACACACTGTTCTTGAAAAACTATTGTTAAGGCATGTTCTATCACAATACGTGTCTACTATTTAATATAACCGTTTTACTAACGCCTAAGTCACACCAAGGTAGTTCTGCATACGTCCTGCCTCGTCCACAAAATAATTGTAAAACTGGATAGAACATGTAACGTCTGCAAACATTACGATGCTAGTTTGATCATAAACAGTTCTCGGAATGTGTCTATCTCGTCTTCACCCGTCTTCAGCAACATAAGGCAACATCAAAACAAGCGTTTCCAAGCTTGTATGTGCTAAGTG